CAGCTCCCTCCTCACTTCCAGTGGGCTCTGTTAGCCCTTCACTCTCTGAAGCACAAAGTTGTTTGTTGTAGCTCATGAGTCACAAGGCTTTTTGGAGAAAGAGAAAACAACGGGAACAATGGGAGCCCTGGGAATAGTTTTTGGTTGTACAAACTGTCTTCATATCAGCCTGAGACGGTACCTCCGTGCCCGGCCCCACTCCCCTCTAGACTCCCAGCCCTGCTTCCCTGCTGTTATATCACATTTTTCCAGTCCCTTCTGAAATGAGAGAAGCGTTGATACTCGGCAGCAAGGCTCTGAAATGTGACAGTGCCTGGAGTGTGTGTGCAACCAGCAATAATATTTGCCTGTGGGGAGAAAAATCCTGAACTCCTGTGTCCATTTGGGAGCCAGCCTCCTATCTCTTCATTTAGTCTCGTTTCCTCTCGAAATGCTGGATGTTAAAGATCCAATGAACAACAGAACTTAAAATAGGAACAAGAAGCATTTTTGTCTGGCCCTTCTCAGCATTCAGAAGACAATGGTATTAATCTGTTATCCCCGTGCCAGCATGGGAAAACCGACAAAGCCACTGCAGTCAAACCTTTCAACAGAGACAGATCTTCTCATCCAGCCCAATAAAAGCTTGTCCAGTCTTGCTTGGCCATACTCATAAAAGCTCTTCTCCAAGCATGGACAGCTAAAATCACATTATATACCTAGTGCAGGGGGAAAAAACCATGATCCAATGCATGAATAATTACTTTTTAGAAGGGAAACAACGAGGATGTTTGTTAAATGAGTTAAAACCTTGTATAGAGATATGAAAAGGCATCTTTCAAAACATGGAAGTAACATCTAAACAAGGCAAGCAGAAAATAATGTAAATTGTATAAATTTGTGGTTTCCCCTTCATCCTGAGCCCTGCCTGCAGCTGTGGTCTCCCCTCGCCTCCTGAAGGTCCCGAGCAAAGAAGAAGGGCCATGAGGATGTCCGGTGGGATGAGCAGCAGAGCTGAGGCTGTGCAGGGCTCTCCTCTCCAGCTGAGAAAGGGGATGGCTGGAGCGCTGTCAGGCAGGTGGTTTGCACAAAAATGCAGGCTTTTGTCCCTCCACAATGTATTCCAGCAGCGCAGGTGAGCATTTTGGATCTCAAATAGCTCTGGAGCTAATGACGAACACAGCGGTTCAGGCAGTGACTCAGAGGCAGCATCCCAGGGAGTCCCCGGGCTGCTGATGGTTGGGAGCTGGCAGATAGAACCGGCTACTATCATTACACACTTGCCTTTTCTTATATTCTCTCCTTAGACACTGACAACTGTTCCCTGTCAGGAACAGCAGAGAGGCTTGATGACTGCAGTCAGACCAGCAAGCCTTGTGCTCACGTCCCCAGCAGCCCTACAGCCAGGGGCAGGACTGTGCTAATGTGCCACCAACACAAGCAGAAATGCACACTTCAGGCACATCTTACTCCCTGCTGCAGACTCAGAGCCATGACAGGTAGGACCTGAGCGAGCATCCCCTCCATCCAGCTCCCAGGGCAGGGAGCACGACCGGCGTCTCCTCGCAGGGACCCAGGGATGGGTACCAGCCACCACACTCAGTCTGAATCCAAGCTCTAATGAGATTAATTAAAATCACCAGATTGGTAGACTGCTATCACTGCAGATGCAAGAAGCTGCTGGCAGCTGCCCACGTCCATCCTCTGCCTTCAGGCAGAAGCAGGGCAGCAGAGCCATGCCCACGCCCGGGGCACCATCAGGCTTAGCCCCAAAGGCTCTGCTGCCCAGGAAGGGGCATGGGAGGACGGCTGTCACCTCTGCAAGGGAGACAGCCAAGACAGAGGCCTGGTGCCTGGGACACATCAGGAAAGAGCCCGGGCAGAGCCCCGTGACAGGCACAGATAAATATAATCACCCTCCCTGGCAATGGCCCCTTCGCGGATGTTTACAAACAGCTCAGTACTTTTCCATGGTAAGAAGCTTGTTTTTCCAGATGCCTTGTATCGGGTGGTTTTTAATGTGTATAGTTAATCCCTTCTCACAGAGTCTTTCATAATAAACATCACCCCCTGACCTGACTAATAACTATGTAACACTAATGCTTTTGATTTTTTTATCTCCTGCCTGGGTTGTCAGGGCGAATGCATGTTTCTCTAGGACAGCAGCTCCCAGAGAAACGGGGACACGACTTGGAGAGGGGCAGGAGAGGCCAGTGGGTCCTGCTCCACCAGCCCATCCTCCAGCATCACCATCCCTCAGGACACGCCTGCACCCACTGCAGCTCTTGACAAATCTAATAAAAGCCACCTGTAAAACTGGAGTTTGAGTTATTGTTTGAAAAGATCTGTCCAGACCCAAATGTCTGGGGGTTCAACATCTGATAATACATTCATCCTGCTCTCCCTATTACCCTCCTGTGGTTTCCATCCTCAGTGGGATGGACAAGAGAAAGGTACTTCGCCATTTCATGTGAAGTAGTTTGACAGTGGTGTGGTTCACATTTTACATTTCTCAGTATTTGCTCCAGCAGGACATGATGCCCATCCCAGTCTGTGCCTGAAATCCTCCACGGTTCCTACAAGGATGTGCCAAGCCCTGCAGCATGTCACAGATGACAGGCAGTGGATCCCACACATGGACCAGATGGGTTCACGGCTGATCACAGGAACAGCAGACATTGGGTCACTCGTGGAAGATTTTGGAAGATGCTGTTGTAGAAGAAATCCATACTGGAATGACCTCCAAACCACCACCCTGCACTGCTGCAGATCTTGAGGCAATCCTGTGTCCAACCTCACACACTCTGTCCCGATCCCCGAGTTCCACCTGGAGCTGATTTCCAGCAGACCTGGACACAGGAGCCGCAGGGGCGATGGAGGGCAAGGGGAGCACGGCCGAGACCTGGACTGCTCCATGTGCTTGTGTTCCCACCACGCTTTTGCAAAGATGGTTTGTCAGCTTGAGCATCCTGGCCACACTCCAGCTTGAGCAATCACACATCGCCTCCCAAATTCCCCTGGAGTTTCAGTTCAGATAAGCCACAGAGGTTCACTTTCTGTCCCAACTGTTGCTAAGTTGGGCACTGTTCAGCTTTTGCTCCACTTTATTTGTTCCAGAGCTACATTTCACTGAGAATCCTCCTCAGGGCATAACAGAGCATGAAGCAGAGGGATGAGCCTGGCCCTCCACAGGCACCACATCTGACGTCTCCCCGGGTGCCATGGACTAAGATCTAGTTTTCACTCCAGCTGTTGTTGAGCAGCAACTTGGATCCAGGTCTGACCATCCTTCAGCAAGTCCAGAAGCATTTTCACTTGGAGTCTTAGATTTATATCCAGTAACTTCATTAGCAGCTGGGTAAAATCCTAGATGGCTGATTAAACTAATTCATATTATAAGCAAAAGCGTGTCTGTACCACCGATGCAGTAAAGAGATGCATCAACTCTTGGAGGAAAGTTTTACTGGGCAGCAGCAGGGTGGCACATATCACACTGTCCTGATGCATGAATCACATCCTGTCACATCTAACCCGGTCTAACACTGGGCATCTCCACCTTAGGGACTCCTGACAGCACCTGAAGGGCTCACCCCAGGCCTTTATGGGCACATCAGGCACAGGGGTGAGCATTTTTTTCAGAGAGGGATAACGGTGCCAGAGGAGGAGGAGGTACCCTAAATGCTTCACTTTCCTTGGGAGGATTCACCTCACAAAAATCACCCCCTGACCCGTATCGAGACACATCTATAACCAGTGCTAATGTTCAACTTTCTAACAGCCTTGTCAGCAGCCAGTGACATCTGCACCCCTGGTTCTTGCTCTCTGGAGTGTTTCCAACTACCTCAGCTGGTCCTAACAGCTTTCCAGTCCCTCTCTTTTCCCACGGCACAAACAACTTGGACTTTTTCAGTCTCTGTCCTTCACCAACACTTAAGATGTATCAATGTAAACCTGTCAGAGCAGTAAAAAACCAAGTGCAGCTGTAATTCATGCAGTGACCACAGGAAAACCTCAAAATCTCTACTCAGCTTGATGCAAAAGGAGGATGTTACAGAGGTTTGTGCTCACCAGGCCACAGCATCAGGAGAGGTGAAACGGGGGGAGCTTGGGAAGGAGTTCACATTAGCCATGCCAGCTTCACCTGCCTCTAAACTTAGCTCTGTCTGACTCCAGACCCTGGTCCAAAGGGAAGGGAATGTGAGAACGATGTCCCTCTGGCTTTGCTCAGGCTGCTGCTGAAATGAAGATGACCAGTGCCAAACACTGTGGTTGCTACAACAGCAGCTCATGCCTGCTGTAGTTTCCATGGCTCGTGGAAATGTATCCGAGGCACACAAGGAAAACAGGGCACAGCACTGTCCCTTCCACCACAGCCCCGGGGACACACAGCTGCTCCCGCCCCAGTCCCAGACCCTGCACTCAGAGCTGGCAGGGGAACCTGGGCAGTGTCCCCAGGGTGGGCAGCACTGCCCGTCCCAGCCGGGAAAACCCTGCGGGCAAGGTCAGACACCGACAGCCTCGGCTTAATGCCCTTGAGCCCCGTGACAGGAGGAAACCAACACAACATGATCTGCAACTCAGCTGTGCTGCCCACTTGTTCACGGGGAGGAGCCTCCACGTCACCCTCCCCTGCCATCAGTGCTGTGACCTGTGCCACTATCGAAAGGGCACCCAGGCGGGCACCCAAACCAGGGAACCCTGGCACACAGACACCCCAAAACTGTAGGACCTCCCAGTCCCACCAAACTCAACCCACGTTTACTTGCCTCAACAGGGGTGGAGTGGGCACAAGGACCCCACACCCTTCATCAGAGATGCCCATTGGGTTTCCCCCCCTGCTCCCTCCAAGCAGAGCTGGGGTTGGCACCACTGTCAGGAGCTGTGGCTCTGCCTTCCTGGAGATGCCTTGTCCTGGCACCCACTGCCCACAGCCAGCCACGGGCACGCTGGTTGCCACATCTGGGCAAGCTCAGTGCCATGGGAAACCCCCCCCTCTGGCAAAAGCCTGAAAGCCCACATACCTCAGAGGGCTTCTTCTCCTTCTGCCGTGACCAGGGGGATTTGGTATTCGGAATTTTGGAGCATCTGGAGGTGGATGTGGTGTGACCTGCAACGAGGTAACAGAGACAGGTTACCCGGAAAAGAGTCAAAAAGTTTTTTCCACATCTTTGCCACCAGCCCCACTGCTACAGTCTCAACCAACACTCTGGGTCAGCACTAAGAGGCAATAACACCTTGACACGGCATTATTCTTGTGCACACCCCAGGGTACCTCACCAAAACACATTAACATCACTCCTGCTACTGATGATGATGTAGATGATGAAATAGAGGCCCCTGAAATTTAAAAACACTGTTTTCAAATGCAGACATCAGAAATGAGAAACCCAGAGTCACAAGTAAGACAGGCTTCTGAGAGGGAATGAACCAGGGCTCATTCCTGGAATCAGGAGTCTATTGGGATTAGGAATTAAGGAGATAAAAGTTTTCTACCAAGGATGCTTAAAGACAGGTATCTGAACAGCTCATGGACTTCAGAGCCCATGGACAAAACTACTGACAAAATTGGGTCAAACTCCTCTGCCCACACCACGACTAAGAATTCCCAAGCTGTGTGCAGTTCAGCATCCACTGGGAACCACACAACAGAACACATCAAGCAAAGGCACTTTACACTTTTCAGTAGTAAGAGAGTATTTGCTTTGAGATTTGGGAATACTTTCCTCAGGGAGCATTATGAATGATCTCTCATCATCCTCACTGCAGCAATATCATCACATCACCACTGCTACCACCTCTGTAAGGCAAGGGTAGCTAAAGCCCAAAATGTTCTGGGACCATTACGTTACTGATCTTTATTTCCAACCCATATTTGTTAATAATAAATAACAAACTAATTATTGGAATTTTTGTATAAAAATTATGACAGTCCAGTTTACCACTGACTTTATCCTTTTATCCTGAATAGGAGGAAACAACACTGCACATAATCAATGACCAAACACGATGGAGCCCTGCACATGAGGAAGGGCTCTGGCCAGGAGCTGAGCTGACCCAAGGGATCAGGGTGCAGTACCACTGCGATGGGAAATGTCTGTTCCTTCACCAGCTCAGGCAACTGAGCCCAGATAAATCCCACATGCCTATTTCTGCTGGCAGGGGACGAGGCACCAGCTCACCTTGCACTCTTTACTTGCAGTACACTTTCCTGTTCTTCATCAAATGAAAACCAAATGTGGGGGCATCACCTGTTCCCAAAAGACAGCTGTTTTTTTCACTGCAGTGTCAAGACAGATGTCACTAAAGAGGGCTCCATATAAATGACTTTTTTATAGCATTTCAGTGCATAACAGGACGGTGCAGGCAAAGCCCACAGCAGACATCCCTATGCTGCAGCCACATGGACATGCTGCTTTACTCAGTGAGCTGCTCAAAGGAGGGCAGCAGCAGCTCCACAGCTTTTATGGAGAGATTGAGCCACTAATTTCCACCTTGCCCCCTCGTTTCAAGCTACAGTGTGATGCTACAACTATGCAAACCTGGATAACACACCACTACCACCCTTTCCTGGCAGAGAATAAGGAAAGATGGTCACCACTCTGTTTACAATCATCCTGCAGGAGAGCATTTCGTCAACAGCTTAGATATCACCTGCAGCATAAATATCCAAGCCCAACAGAGATAAGGCCATGTTGTTTAATGCCATGATTAAAGATGCCTTACCCCTGAAAGGCAGCGAAGCCAACGAGCTGCTCCGTAAGCCTTTGAGCATCTGGGGATTAGGAGATGGGAAGTTTGAAGCACAGCTTCCAAAACAAACCCCTTTCTGAGATAGAGACGTTTCGTTTTACGAGAAGCCAGTGGTGCTGACAGAGCCTGAAACACTTTCTGTAGGCACAGCTCAGCTCCCAGGCCCCCCCAGGGCTGCAGCAGGATGGGGGTCCCCGCCAGCAGCCCAACAGCAGGTTCCTGTCGGCAGTGCTGGTGCAAACTCCTCTCACACTGACAATTTTTTTGGCTGAAGCTGTGGGAACGGCAGCCAAACCCAGCAAGATCAGCCTTTCCATAACCCCCTGTAATCTCCCCATCATCCTGTTAGGAAAAGGCCCAGAAGTTTAGTGTCTTTAGCAAAGTCCCTTTCGTTCTCGGGTATCCAGCAGCCAGATCCTGTAAAGTGTGGAGAGCAAATTCCCAGCACGGCCCAGATGAAATTACTGTGACATTTGTAAAAGACCAAGAGCAACTAGTAAGAAACTCTGGAGCCCAGACAAGGGATTAGGCTGGTGCCTCGAGGGTTCTGAACACCGAGGCACTGCGGTATGTCTGCAGTGGGTGAAACCCTGGGATAAGTGGGAGAGGAAAGTGCTCTATTTATAGCCAAAATTCAGCACATTTGCACATGTTTATTGTTGAGCACATGCTCCTGTGCCTTCCTGAACGAGGATGAAGTGAGGTAGATGTTGAAAAGCAAGCGTGGGCTTGCAAGTTTTGCTGGCTTGAGCTTTATCCCTTTTCCCACATCACTCTTCAGCTCGCAAAAGGGAACAATGCGGCTCCAATTTTACTCTGACTCCAATAAAAACTTCCCTTTCCCCCGTACGACCCAAATCAAGAGCAAACTAGTCTCAGGCTGCAGCTCACAGGAAAGGACAACTCATCTACAAAGGGTGTTTGCTGCTTTGTTAGCAGATCTGCAATCAGCAGCTCTCCTCGCCCAGACTCCTCACACGAGGGAGACACTCTCATCAGTTAAGAGGAGCCACAGCCAAGTGTTTAAATAAATTGGTATCAGCTTGTTGCTGCGTTTCTGACAAACCCAGCCCTGCACACAATTCATTGTGCAGGGACTTCCCAGTAAATGCAGCTTCCTCCAATCTTTGCAAAGTAATTATTCAAGCATTTTCCCCGCTGGAGGTGAATCTTGTTCAAAGCTTTGAATTAAAGGTCTTACTGTCAGTGGTGTCTGAGTTATCACTGCTGATGGAGTACTTGCGTCGTTTTTCTTCCATCTGTAACAAAAGAAATTGAACATTATACTTAACGTACAGAAAACTCACCTCAGCACCAAACCACTGTTATCTCTAAATATCTGCACACCGTGTTAACCCAGCACCAGTCAGTCCTTACCCTCAAGACAGAAAACTACCCAGAGGCTGAAAAAAAGGAAGAAAACAATCCTCACAGGGCTTTTGAAAACTTTTAAGGTGTGAGTGTCTCTTTGCCAGCCTTCCCCACTCCCAGGAGTTACTGTGGGTACACCTGGATCACTCAGCTATGCATGGCAAATTGTCCAGGCAAGATTTGCAACCAAATGGTTCTTCCTCTGAAAGAGCATTGCCATGGGAGGGTGCTCCACCACGGACCAGAGGATGCTCCACCATGGACCAGAGGATGCCCCATCATGGACAGTGGTGCTGTAGGACGGGACAAAAGATGTCCTGTGAACCACAGTCCTGGGCTGCAAGGTTGAGAAATGTGAAGACAGAAGAATGGAAACTGTGCACGCTCTCGGTATGTCTGCAAGGGGAAGTACGAGCATCCCAGACCTGAAGAGAACCCCTGTGCACCACAAGCCTGGGGTTTTACCCACTGACTCATCTTCCCATTCAGCCAGTATCTCCTTCTTTTAAAGACTTCTGAGGCATCTGTCACACAGGCAACACGCACCAGCCCAGCCCAAAGCACACTTCCCATCACCCTGCACTGCTCTGCCCCCCAGCAGCTCCCGCGGGCTGAGCGAGTGGCTTCTGCACAGCTGCTGTGACTTCTCCATCCTCTCAGAGTCAAAATCACAGCAGCAGGTACCACCACACCGATTAGGAGACCCCATTTCAAGCTCAGCTGGTTTGCTTTGTGACTTTGAACAAGCCACAGAAGCGCTTGAAATCAGCAGGTTCTCCTGAACTCGCCCCTCGGGAACTGAGCGCTCAGAATTGAAAGTCAAGTATCTGTACTGGTAGGTGCTTTAAAATAAAAAAAAAACACAGAAGAAAAAAGGTATTCTAACTTTTAAAGACCTCAGTTTACCAATGTGGCTAGTGACTGATGAACGTGGCCCCCAACACAGGGCTTGGGGAGCTCTGCAGGGAAAGGGATACCCATGGACCAGACAACACTCAACAGGCTGTGAGCCAAAATACATCCACAGGAAAACAATGTTAATCTCATGGACATCTTCCTAGTACTTTCTGAGATATTTTGCGAGAATCTAAAGGCGTTGAGATGTCATACACACTACTGCTTCCACAAATGATAAGTGGGAATGATATTAGACACCAGGTTTGTGTGGTTTGGTCGCAGCAGCTACAAGCAGCACACACACTGGATAGCAAGCTAGAGCATGACATTCCCCCCAAACATCAGGAAATGTTCCACATAAGCAAAAAAAACCCCATGCAATATCTGTATTTTACAATATATGTGCTCTGTGTTATCATAGCATTATCAGGGAAAATACTACAAAGTATCCTAAACATTTTAACTATCAGTGTTGTGGTAAGGCATTGCCCTGTCAAAACGTGACTTAAAACATTCCTTGAGAATATGGCAATATCAATAGTTTTCCCCCAGTGATTCAAGGGGAAACAGATGTTATTAAAACAGCCTGGTTCCAAGTAGCCATTAGGTTTTGCTCGGGGAAAACGAAATTGAAGACAGTTTTAACTGCAGCTTACTTACTTTTAGTGGACGTTCTACCTGAACCTTTTAAACTGGTTTCTACTGGTCTGAAGTGGCAAACAGGCATCTGGAGCACAGAGCAATCCTTTTATTGATTCTGGAGTTCCTAATCACAGAGATTAAATAAACCAAAGCCAACGGAGGGAAAATAACCACCTGAGCTGAAGCAAAGGAATGCTATTGATAGCCAGTGAGATTTCCCAGGTTTCCCATCTTTGCCTTTACAGCAAGACAGTATCACTGACATCACTCTCCTTCCAGGGCAGGGAAAAGGTTTACAATCAATGCTCAGCACAGGCATCAGATGCTGGGACTGGTTTTGGCTCTGATATTTATGTGAGGAGATGCACTGATCATCCCTCTAATTGAACTTGGTCCCTGCATCCTGCTTCTGTCCCACACCCACCTACAGAACACCCCTGAACGTGCTCACTACATAACAGGATGGATTGATATTCACATACAGAAGTGGTTCACATTGCAGGTGAAACAGTGGCTCTACTTCAGTAAATCATTTTGCCACTGTTTGGCAGGATCCAGGACAGCATCCTCTGAACCAAACTGCATCAAATTTCTGAATGAAATTCTGGCTTGAGCAAAGTGGGGACATCTCTGAACAGCAGCACTGAAAGCCAACGACCCCCCGGGCAGGGGATGGCACACAAGGTATTGTGTGCCTGAAGGGAGCAAAATTTGTGACCAAGACAAGCCCATTCCAGAAAATGGTTAAATTCCAGGCCATGCTAAGAAGATGCTGTTTTCTGAGGGACTCATCAGGAGCAGCCCAACAGTAGTAAACCGAGGGCACTTAACTGAGGAATTTACTGTAGAAGAAGGGTAATTTGGCCATTTCCCCATCTGGATCACAGAGTTATAAAGTCTGATGGTGGCTGGGCTCCCACCACCCCCTTTGGCACCGCGGGGGGGACCCACTGCCCACATCCTGCCCAGGGCTGGAGCTCCAGCTCCCACAAGCTCTCAGGAGCAATTCAGCTGGTGAACTACTGAGCAACTTATGTCTCCACAAAACACGGTCTCTGCTCCAAAATTAATCTTTTGTTTACATTAGAAGTTAATTTCACCTTTAACTGACCCATTCCCCGCATGGCATCATTAATAAAGTCATAAACAAATACCAAAAAAATTTGTAATACTTTGAAAAGGTCACTCTTAGGTCAAACTTGGCCCAAAATCTAGTTTTTACAGAGCCAGAAACCAAGTGAAAGGTTTCTATGTAGGCTTGCTTAAAAAATTCAAACAGAAACAGATGTGGGTTTCTTTTATAAACAAATGAACATCCCCCTGAAGTGTCTGCAACTCAAATCCACAGGCACAGCCCTGGCTAAAGCCTGGAAACCAAAAAAACAGAATTGCTTGCAAACCAACACATGTTTAGCATTGCCTTTGTTCAAGCTGAGAAAGGCAGATAAATGCTAAACCAAGGAAAATGATGGCCCTCCATCAGCCTAAACAAATGTAAATCACAGGGGTCTTGGACAAATTAGCACCAGGACTGGCGTTAAAATTGAGATGATGGTCTGAGGCTGGCTGGTCCTGCTTCACAGCAGGGGAGGGCTGGAGAGGAGCTCTCGGGAATGCAATTTTGCCCATGCAACCTGGGAGAGGTGAAGGCAGCAGCACTCCTGGCACAGATCCCTGTGCCCAGGTCCTGAGCTCCTGTCCCCTCTGGGCACAGTGCCCAGGGACAGGTGCCCGCTCCCATCCACACTAAACCAAAATGCCTTATCCAGCCTCCAGCCAGCACAGAACTCTTCCTCTGCGGACCCCTCCACCATCCCTGTGCTCTGGGGAACCCCCTGATGTTTCCCAGCTCCCTGCAAACTCTTCTGTACATCAAGCCCCGTGTGATTTGGAGATTTTAGTGGCACCTCAGCACCCCGTGCAAGGGCTGTTTGCAAGAATGAACCATTCGGGACTGTGGTAAGCAAAGAGAGAAATTCATACACGCCTGTGCTCCCGAAATCCACGGGGAACAGGCACAGAAACCTGCGTAAGTTGCAGTAAAAAAAAAAATGGGGGGGGGAAGTATTTGTTCATCACCTCTCCCAGCCTCCCCGCAGGCTGAGGGATGCGCCGCGCCGGTCCCCGCGCCGTCACCTCTGACGCTGTGAGCAACACCGGCTGAATGATGTGCTCTGTTTGTGAGCTGCAATGAGACTGCAGAAAAACCACTTCCCTGTTTGTTCTTCCAGCCCAGAAATAGGAACACAAACGGAACATAGTGCCCCCAGCGGCACACGCACCGCTCCGGCCAGCGGACCCCGCGCCGGGGACCCCCGCGCCCGTCCCACCGCCCGCGCCCCGCGGGGGATGTGGAGCCCCGGGGCTGCTCCCAACGCACCCCCTCAACGCTTCCCCTCTGCCTTAATTGGTTTTTTTTTCCCCCCTCTGTCTAGGAACACCAGTTGTTAGAAAGTGTAATAAGAAGGGTGGAGGGCTGGAACGTCCCAGTCTTTACACCGTGGGAGGGTTGTCCTCTTCCCATCGCCTTTTCCCATTAGCGATTCTGGAGCCAAGTGCTGCTACAGGAGGCTCTGAGAGAGCAGCAGCGTCCCCCGAATTGGCCCAGCCCCAGTTCCATAGTGACAGAGGAACAAAGTTTTGGACCGAAGGATGCGCAGCGGCCGGGCCAACAGACCCTCAGCAAACCGTGGTGCACAGCCCTGACATCTGGGAGGAAGCTTTTCTTAACCTCCCTGGAAACCCTGCAGAAGTGTA